TGTCACTGTTATAAAGCATTCCTGGGTTTGTAAAAGGCACTATATGAATTAAGCTTCTCACAAAACAGGCAAATAGGGACACTGAGCTGGGCTGCTTTCCATTTTGAAAAAGTGAAAGGAGACAGAGAGTCTCACCACCTCATTCAGGAGCTGAAACATTATGTCCACTTTCACACATTACATGGATGTCTAAGTCAGTTTGAGCTGATTTTGAAGATGCAGCACCCAATGTGACAAAGCAGCAGGTAAATGAGTCCTTGTGAAGTATATGTTGAAATGTATTGAAATGTATTGTATTGCACTGTGTTTAATTCTGTTTCTTTTCTCTAGGTAACAACATAGGCCTTTGTTTCCAGCAATATCTGAGCTCAGGAGAAGCCTTCTCTCTAATCTGTAACTAGCAATGATATTTTCTCTGAGATGACAACAAAGCACTTTTTGTAAGTCACTCTGGATAAGAGTGTCTGCTAAATGCTGTAAATGTAAAGGTCAAAAAGTTCTAGTTATTGCAACACAGATGATCCATCATCTTGGTTGTCGCCATGCCAACACCAGAGACAGCAGTGACTGGTTGAGTGAGTCATGTCGCCTGCAGAAATGTGCAAAAATTTAGCATAGGGCTAAATCAAATAATGTCACAAAAAATCAAGCTTGGTGCGCAAGACATCAGCACCTAGACGTGTTTCTGAAAAAAATAAATAGCAACATCCAAATAAATCATACAACTTAATCATGATTGGTGTGTAAAGGCTTTAACGTTCACTTTACAGCGTCTATGCACAATTCTGTCTGTGCAATGAAACAATTTCTCTTTTTATGATGCAACGAAATAATAAAAACAATATAGCCCCCTACACTTCTGGCAGTCTTCAATCTGTTAAAATGACTATGTGTATCATATTAATATGTAATTTATGTTCAAAGTGGATATGCTGGTCTTCCTCATCAAATAAACCTGTCTGAATCTTAACTTATAGAAAATAATAGCAATTTAAATCACAGTCACAATAATGGCCTGAAAAGTCAAACTTAGAAACCATCCCAAAATGGTTCAGCCCAATTTTGTAGTCTTAAGTTCAATGCAATGAAGCTGAGTTATAAACTCCCATAATTGGAATATAAAATACAGATATTACAAATATCATGTTTACAGTCAGTTTTATTGACCCCTTATAAATGAAAAGCTAAAAAGCTAAACAACATTCAGCAGAGAGACTAATACTCACAGATAGCACACAAACATTCAAACTTAGGCTCTACTGTTGCTCAGCACTGAGAAAACTCCACATTCAGAAATACTCAAGGGCAAAGAACAAGAGCATGGAAAACCGCACAACACCACATATATTAGGCTTTTCATCCCAGACTAGCACGATTTGACAGGCTTTTGCAGAACAAAATGTCTCTCTTTAGTCTTTTTATATTTTATGGGACAGAGACGGAGCTGATTATCTCAATCCCTGGGGATGAACTCTTCTCAATGTGGATATATTTGCTGCAGAACTGCTCTTTGCCGTGCCAGTTTTTAGAGCGCAACATCAGTGAGAAGCAGAGAGAGAGAGAGAGAGAGAGAAAGAGAGAGAGAGAGAGAGAGCGCTTCTGCACTCTGCGTGCATCTGTGTGTAAAGGTATCAGTGAGTGATTCAGAAAGACGATGAAAGATGTTACGAGAACAAAGCTGAATTGTCTAACTAACTCATGAGAACCGTTTAACTGAACCTATTCCAGCTTCCACTGTGTAACACTGAGGCTGTTGACACCTTGCACTAATATGTGTTTCATGTCTGGGGTTATACTTTGGCCGGATTAGGGCTGGGCAGTACAACAATATATATTATTATGTGACAGTACAACACAATATGCTTTTCTGAACATATCGTGGATATTTTCACGCCTTGTACAACACTGACCAACTGCATCGTTCATTGTAAAGAGAGCAAAATTAGTCCCGTTTAACTGGAATGCCAAATATTGAATAAAAATATAGAAATCACTGTATGAAAATAATATAAAAATCACTGTATTCACAGTTTTTGATAGTATTTTTTAAAATGTATCAGTACTGGTTCTTGCTCAGTTCCAACAGATCAGATGTCTGAAAAAATAAATATTGTGACATATTGTGTATCTAAAAATTTTCGCCATCCTATATTTCCTATCCGATCCTATATAATCGCGATACTATATTTTCTGCCATATCGCCCAACTCTAGGCAGGATTTCATTTACACTTTTCACTGAAAGTGACCAGATGAGATCTGATTTTCCTATGTAAAGAGCATATTAGCACATACGTCACTTCCTTTTACTTATTCCCATTGCAATATGAAACAACATGCTCAGATTTGATACTTTCATCAGCTCAGAGTCTTTTGGTTCGGGGATAACTCCAGCCTCATGTATTCTCCATTTTGCGTTTACTTGTTTATACAAAAATGCATTCCATTTACAGTTGTGTTGAATGTTTGGCTAACACTTTATTTGGATGGTCCACTGTAGATGCTAAGAAACATTCAACTAAATATCCATTAAATGCACCTGAACTTCAAAGGTCAGTGTGAAAGATTTTAGTAAATCGATCCCTAAACTTAACCTTAAACTCAAGGCAAAACCTACAACTACTCATAAACCTAACCCTAACCATAATGTTGTTAATAATCAACTGAACATCACCAGATGGTTTGGTAATGGTTTAGGTATCTGTAGAGCATCTATAGGGGACCATCCAAATAAAGTGTGTCCAATGTTTGTTGTGACATTTGTGGCGTCCAGTGTTGGTTCCTCTATTTTGGTACAGCTATATGACGAATGTATCTCAGAAGTAATGTAGGCTTATACAGCAATTAACTTTGGTTGCTTATGCTGACTGCCCTGCGATGGACTGGCGACCTGTCCAGGGCGTATCCTGCCTTCTGCCCAATGACAGCTGGGATAGGCTCCAGCACCCCACCGTGACCCAGAAGGATAAGCGGTTTAGATGATGTATGTATGTATGTATGCTTATGCTGAACAAGACTCTATACACAATACCTCTTTATCTAATTCAAATCATAATAAGATATCTCCTCATCTACTCACAAACACAAATGTTGTATCATTTAAAAGTTTTGAACCTACACTTTTGACAGAGTCTGGCTTATTTCGCTAAGCTACAAGTGAGAAATAATCAAACTAAATGTAAGAAGAGCCATTTTAAGGCACTTAGGGCATGAGGGATCTAGAAGAGTTAAAACAAATGCAGTATAACAGGCTAAGAGGTATTATAGGGGCATTGCTCTCACTCACAGCTGCTAAAGATTCAGAATCAAGTAAGCAACGTGCAAAAAGACTCATCATGCCTCCAATACAATATGCATACAAGTAAATTACCTCCTACAATATTTAACACCAGAACTGTATCAACAGCCACCCACATTCCTCAGTACAATGTGGCCTACTGAACTCAAATCCACCGCTCTCTGGGACGAACACCAGATGTCATAAAGGACTTTACTGTCATATGGTTCTGCAGAGTACAGCCATGTCATTATCTACATGTCATCTGGAAGCTTTAGGAGTTGCCAAATGCACAGCAAAATCCCCAACTGAAATAACCTACAGTTTTAATTGCAACTGGACTTGAATGAACATTGTGAGTGTTATTTTCCATCTCATCCCTCTCAAACCTTTGACTGTCATAGTCTGTAAAGACCTCCATGATCACAAACCCCTACATGAACTCCTAACTTAGTCCACCAACCAAAAATATCCCGCCAACAGAATCCTGATCCTGCAGGCAGCGTCCTGTGACTACTAATGACGGACTAGAGCCCATGAGTCAGCTTGTTTCACCATGGGCTGCACTACAATCCCCAGCATGCACTGCAACATAATGTGTGCTCTGACCCCCTTCCCCAACAACAATACGGGTCAGCAGTTATACAGAAAGAAAAGATAGTGTTCAAGCAAACAGGCAGTTTTAAAAACCTTCCTCCCGGGGACATTTAAAGAGGTTCAACAGTTATCTGCAGCAAATGTAGTCCATTGTTTTATATAAAACAAGCTGTTTTTATTTAAAACTACTTTTTAAATCATTGAACTATTCAGTGCCTATTTTTTGCCATTGTAGTTTCAGCATATTTTGGATAAATAATGGCCTGTTGAGGCAAAATGTTAAGCATAAAACGAAATAAAACCACAGCTGGCCCACGGATCTGTTGAGACTTTTTAATATGGCCCTTTTAGTGGTTGAGTTTGACACCCCTGGACTAGAGGACGACTAATGCAAACTGGGCAGCAGTGTAGATGAGCTCCTTGTTTTCTACACTTATTGTCCATTTTATCAGCTCCACTTACTATATAGGTGCACTTGCTAGTTCTACAAATACAGACTGCAGTCCATCTGTTTGCCTGAATACTTTGTTACCCTGTTCATCAAGGGTACAGGACCACCACAGAGCAGGTGCTATTTGAGTGGTGGGTCATTCTCAGCACTGCAGTGACACTGACGTGGTGGTGGTGTGTTAGTGTGTGTTGCGCTGGTATGAGTGGATCAGACACAGCAGAGCTGCTGGTGTTTTTAAACATTATGTCCACTCACTGTCCACTCTATTAGACACTCCCACCTTGTCAGTCCACCTTGTAGATGTAAAGACTCTACAATGGACTGTCTAATATCAGGCCACTCTGGATGACTTTGCTTACATCTCATCCACTGAATTATAGGGAATTGTGTACAGTTCCCATATAGGACAGTGCAGTTTTTGCATTCTCATTTATATTAAACTGGTATCATGCATTAAGCAGTCAACACATCATCATAGCTATAATGTTTCTAACCACATGACTATATACAATATGAGGCAAAGCTGATCATGAGCAACACTTTCTGCTTTACTTTCTCCTTTTGTATGGACTCAGGTAAACTCCCACCAGTGGAAGAAGAGTAAGTGAGCAGGTGTCACACCTGCTGCAAAGACCGCAGAGGCTGCAAGGTGGAAGGTGAAGTAAAGAAAAACTCACTTGAATCTCCCCTGACAGTGCTGACACTGCTCTCCCACCCAGCCATGGTCACAGATGCAGCTTCCATTAACGCATCTTCCACTGAAGCAGCGCTTGTCGCAGCTCTCAGAGAGGAACAAGAGAAGGTAAAAGCAAACAAGTGTCCACAGGTATCTCCTCGGCCACAGTCCATACTGTGAAGCTCGAGCAGAGAGAGATGAGAGCATCCTTTCTGTCCTGAAGTTCATTCAGCTCCGGAGATGTCCTGCTTTGGAAACCATTGTGCCTCCTCTTCACATCTGCTGGTGTCAATGAACAACAAGCTTCTGAGACAATTAGTCACAACAAAGCATCAGCTACGTGACGGAGCTGAAGTCAGCTTCTCGTTCGAACTTTCCCGTTCCACCTTAAACGGTGCAGCAGTTATTATTATAACGCCTCAGACGCCAGAATGTACCTGCTGCCCCATTTAAGGTGGAGCGGGGTTATTCGAACACGAAGCTGGCGAATAGGAAGCCACTTTTAGCCTCGCAGCTACGTGTATATTTTGTTGTTATTTAAATAAAATAGTCGAAAAGTTGATTTTTTCTTTTGTCTAATTCAAGATCATACAATTCTCTCGGCATCGAGTTGGTTGTTTATTTTTTTCTGCACCTCTATTACGACAAGCCCCGCCCTGCCTCGCATGGAATGGCTCGTAGTTCGTCCGCAGAAGCAGTGTGCTGATTGGTGGACTCTTCGTGAGTATGAACTTGTATCCAATCACAGCTCAGGGGGCGCGAGAATGCTAGCCAATCGCAGAGAAGAGAGGCGGGACTTGTCGGAATACAGGTGGGGAAAAAATAACGCCGCCTCCATACTACAGCATGGTTCTCAAGAGTTCTTTAGTAAGGTCTACACACGTAAAAAAGATGTTCTTCAACTGTTCTTTAGTAAAGAAAGTGGTTCTATACAGAACCATGAAAACTCAGTGCATGACTGCATGATTAAAGGCTTCTTTGCATCATGAGATGATTCTTCAGATTGATGGAGAACGTGCCCTTTTTGAAAAGGGTTCTATGTAGCACCAAAAAGGTTCTGCTATTGTTACAATGTCAAGCTTGTTTTGGATGAGTTGAATGAGGTGGAGTGATCCAGAACTAATGACCCAGCATCAGTACCTGACCTCACTAATGCTCTTGTGGCTGAAGCCAATCAGTTGCTCGCAGCAATGTTCCAAAGTCTAGCGTAAAGCCTGCAGCAAATGGAGAATTAACTCCTTCTTAAAAGAGAATTTTTTTACATTTTCTGCTTTATTAAATGGTTAAAATGTAAACCAAGTTATTCAAAGTGGTTTGACGTGGTTGTAGAGAATCTAATCTAATCAGAATTGTTCACAGTGGTAGTGATAGGAACCAGATGGCTGAAGAGTTTAATATCTCTAAAAGCTCCCTCACAGAAAGTTATTATACAAAATGGTTATGATGACTGAGACATTGTTTTATAATATTTATGAGATAAGGTTTTGGCTTAAAATCTTTTTTTTTATCCATTATAGTGGAGACGTACATGAAGGGCATTGTAATGCAATATAGAGGCCAACGAAAACTTATTTTTATAGCATGATAATAGCATGTATGACGAAACCAAACAATTATGCAATCACATTTACAGTGAGTCTCTGGCATAAAATCTGTGTTTACCAGCTGACTGACATGCAAGAGTCCATTTGAGTGAATTTGTCTGCAAGCTGAAGATCATTTTCTGGACATTTGGATTAAATCCACTGTTGCTGCATGAATTCCTCTCTGCTCTGTTCAGCCTTAGATGAACTGAGCAGTCACGTGTCTTGGCCTCGAGGGACAGATAAGGATAACGACGGCTGATTATGAGGATGATATGAGGAAATATCTGTGTCTTGCTGTATAAACTAGCCCTGCTGACTCAAAGCGGTACTGCTCATAACATAACTCTGTAGCGTGTATCATTATCTCAAAGACCCTCAGAAAAGAAAGATATCACATTTGATGGAACGACGAACTTACAAACGTTCCAGCAGCCAAAACATCTAATTTATTACTTCCATTATTATTGGTGGAGAAGAAACATTGCAAAAATTGGTCTTGGTCTGGATGGAAATGAACTATATGTCTGGTGATAGAACATTAATTAGGCCAGCATCTTTTTTAAACTGACAGTTTGTTAACTTTATACATTCCACTTTAGGCTTAACACAAGAGTGCCATCTAACCAGAGCCGTCTAATGAGTAAAAAGAGTAAAAACAGTCCAAGCCTTCCCTATACAAATCACTCTATACTAGCCTTCAAAAGTGCGGAATCACTATTTTCAATCAAATAAAACCAGTCTGGTTGTGAATGCAAATGATTGTAACGTGACACTAGCACTCTACATGTTCCAAATAACATGTAGGAGGAAATTTTAGATGTGTCTAGAAAGAACACAGCTGTAAGTGATTCTAAAATGGCTTAGAAAGCTGTGTAACATTAAGAGGGAAGTTATAGTAAAATCAACCTTTAGAAGGTCGCATGATCAAATCTTGAAATTTGCAGATAATGTGATAAGACATTGTTATAAATAGATAATTACAGTATCTTATTACTTGTTGTTCCCTCTCAATAAACATACTGATATATTGAATAAAACTAAAATACATTCTGGTATCTAGATGGTAATATTTGAATGTGCACTTGAATAAGATAAGAACAACTGTTAATTATAGCAATAATCCACTGTACGCCATATGTTACAGTGATTTGGCCTTATGTGGTTTATTACTTTAGCAAAATACAATATGATAAAAATATATCAACATTAAATTAATACATTATTTTATCATTAAGAGGTTAAATGAATAGGTTAGGTTTTTTAACAGTAAGCTATGGTTGTCTAGCAAAATAACAGTAACAGCACAATATTTTTGTTTCTTTTCTTTTTTGACCCAGTTTTCCCCACAGTTGAGGCCAGTTCCCACGAGCTAGCTAGATCTTCCTCTATCACACAGTGCTGCCAAACAGACGGTGAACCTCCAGCCCACGACTGTAGGGCAGTCGTGGGCTGGAGGTAAGGGAACCAGTCTTGTGTTTGGAAGGTCACCGGTTCGATCCCTTCAGCTGACAGTACGTGACTGAAGTGCCCTTGAGCAAGGCACCTAACCCCCAGCTGCTCCCCAGGCACCGTGGATAGGGCTGCCCACCGCTCAGGGCAAGTGTGCTCACTGCCCCCTAGTGTGTGTGTGTTCACTAGTGTGTATGTGGTGTTTCACTGCACGGATGGGTTAAATGCAGAGGTCTAATTCTGATGTGTTCAGACACAGTTGGCTAAAAATTGGTTCATTTTCATTTAAAGTCCTTCTCTCCATGCACATGATGCCACCACTCCTGCTAACACAACATCACTGGACAGCTCAACATGCTTAGAGGAGAGCGCTAATTGTTAATTCTGTCACATCAGCACTGTATTGACATCATTAGACTGGCAGCATCCTTAAAAACCACACAAATGAGCACCCTTTGCCAGTGTGGTAGCCATACAAGCTGACCTGCACTCAGGCTACACTGCTCAATATGATCAGACTGAAAGTGGTTTTCACCTTTTTTAATACTCTTCTGGTCATCTACATTCTGGTGCCTCAGACTTTATAATAATTTTAAGGTGGAACAGAAAAATTTGAATTAGAAGCTGACTTCAGCTTCATAGTTTTAATGCTGGTAGTATTTTATTTTTTTTTGGTAAGGTGATTTAAGCTATTAAACTATCCTATCTAAGGGTTTTATGTATGGAGGATCCTATAAATAAGCGCTACGATATGACATTTCAACAAGATAACAGTAGCACAATTTTTCAGAACACCCACCTTACTTTTGTTTTGCTTAGTGATGTCAAATTTATTTCCCAGTAGCATTAGCTTGCATGGAGCAATATTAGTAGAATGACTCTTTAGCCATTATATATTTCAGAGGATCCAGTAATATGTGGGAAAAAGACGTAAACAAGACAAAATGCATCAGGTTCTAAACATCTTTATTTACCACAGGACATGATATAGGTGAATTTTTGAAAACCTAATTAATTTTTATTAAATAATAATAATAATAATAACCTATTAATTTTTGCTATAGAGAATTCAAGCTTAGACCTGGCATTCCAAATATGGGCATAAAGCCAAATACAGAATGATGACACAACCTCAGTGGTCTATGGTGTCTTGGACTCCTGGGCACAGATGGCTGTGCATTTGTACACATACGTACATTTTTTACAATAGATTCAGCCAAGCATATTTTGAAATGATCCATTTTCAAACTTCTAAATTGCAGTTTATGTTGAACATTCAGGAGGCAAAACGAATGTCATATCACAAGCATGTTCTCTTTTAACTACAGCTTAGCTGATGGTGGCCATACTTGTAGCTTTCTGTGAATATTTCCTCACTTGAACTCTGGTCAGGTAAAGCATGGTAAACAAGCCAGTCAAAAACATTTGGCATCCCATTTCTGAGATTGCAGAAATGGGATACCAAACAGAGCCTACCATCTGTCCAATCTGCTGTCACTCACTGAACAATCAGTCAAATTATGCATTACAGTCCCTAAAATACTAAATAAATAAACATGTACCCACCAAAATATACAGTATGTAACAAAAGTTGCAATTTCTTGAGCTTAATGATCAAAGTACTCAAATGTGTACTATAACAACAAATTAACTGTTCACAATGTAATTTGTTCTGCTATACAGCAGAAAGATATACTTTACATACTTTGAACAACATTTCTTTCCCATGTTCACCTTTATTTCAGCTACTAATCAGCCATCGTTGGTGGGGACAAAGTCTGGGCTGAAACAAACAATTTCCTGCTCTGGCAAATATTAAAAGCTGAATAGCAAGAGATAAAGAGTCAACCATTGGGTTAAGGACAAGGACAGTTGAGAAACATTGAAATGGATCAGATCAGTGTTTATACAGTACACACAGATCTCTGACCTTTTTCTGGACTATCAGTGGACTACAGAGTGCTGCACTGTGGTTTGTCACTCTGCCCAACAACCACCATGAAGCTCAAGCTGCAGCTGCTGCTCCTTGTCTTCTGTGCCTTCCTCATACCTGCACAGGTGAGGCCTTAAACCTTCATAGACTTTGGCTCACCCTGCTTAGTGAACCTGTTTTACAAAGAAAATCCTGTTTAACTGCATTAATGATCTTCCTGTGTTTTTAAACGAATCAGTTACTACAACACAAGAAACATGACGAGCATGGCAGAGATGATAAAAAGGTGAAACCAGGAGAGAAACCAGAACATAGACCAGGACAGAAACCAGAAGAAGGACCAGGTCATAGACCAGGAGAAGGACCAGGTCATAGACCAGGAGAAGGACCAGGACTTAGACCAGGGGAAGGACCAGGGCATAGACCAGGAGAAGGACCAGGACTTAGACCAGGGGAAGGACCAGGACATAGACCAGGAGAAGGACCAGGACTTAGACCAGGAGAAGGACCAGGACGTAGACCTGGAGAAGGACCAGGACTTAGACCAGGAGAAGGACCAGGACATAGACCTGGAGAAGGACCAGGACATAGACCTGGAGAAGGACCAGGACATAGACCTGGAGAAAGACCAGGAGAAAGAGGCCATGAACATGACAAGAAACCTGAAAGACGAAGAGGAAGAGTAGAGGGTACACAACTTTTCCAACATTTTCTACACTATACACTTTAATTGGTGGTTAACTTGTAAATTGTGCCTTTTTCCTGGGAAATCCATTATTTTTTCAGAATTTCGAAAGAATTTCATTGTTAAGATATTAACTGTCATTCAGAGTGGTTTCAGTGTAAAAGGTGCATTGCAGAGAAACTTATAGACTTCTTTACGGTGGCGGTAATTGGACAGGTCACAATTTCTTCAACACAAATGTAGCTACTACATTTGCTATTCAGAATGATTAGTAAACTTACTTGTGTCTTTTGAGTTTATATATGTTGTGTAAAAATAGTGAAATACCGATAAATTTGAAAAAAAGTTTGTTTGGGTACTATTGCCTTGCAACATCCTGTATAAAATGAAAAAAAAAAAACTTTAATAGTTTGGACGTCAGCTGACATCTACAGCATGATAAATCGATGGATGGTGAAAATAACTATAACTGTATAAAATGCTAGATTAGCCATGTTAGCTGGAGATGTTGAAACAGCTCGCTAACAATAAGCACGTACGCATGCCGGCAGGGAGGTGTGCCGGATCGTCATGGTCCGCAGTGCCACTGTAGATGTTTTCCACAAACACCGGCTCCAATGAACAAACATCTACTAGTTTTGAGGGAGAAAATGAAAACTGTTTCCCTGAAAGCGGCTGTAGCAGCAACTTTAACCAGTTATTTTCCTCTGTTTGACAAAGTTTATTCCTTTGTTAATAGCACAAACCAATTTTCCTCTGCTTACCGTCAGCAGACAAACCACTAAAACTGAGTTGAGGCTGTTTTTGCTTCAAGCTCGAACACTTGGGTAAGCTGTCCACGCTCTACTCACCATTGTTGTTAATGTTATTGCTTTAGCAGGAGCAGGAGCAAAAATGTGGAAATGTAAAAAGGGCCTATCTTGTGTGACATGCAGGGCCTCTGTGAGGCAGTGGTTACACTAACCAGCATGACGTCCATGACTGGATAATATAAATTATCCAGCCATCTAATCTGATTTGTAACTTTTAGAATGGAGTATTTCTAAATAGTAATTCCATTATAAGAATACTGACCAGTAAAAAGACAAAAATGGTTTTATTGTGTATTGATTGGTCGCTCAAACACGTCATCTCTTTACTTGGTTATCCTAGCAGACGGAATGACTGATACTTTCTTGACAGCCATTTATTACACTACAAACCCTATATTCACCAGACCTGCTGGCCGATTACGATGACTCTGATGATAGCAGAGATGATGACGATGAAGGAAGGGGCGAGTGGCTGTTTGAACTTCAGGATGTCAGAGGTATTATCATCAAGTGACGGTTATTGTTCATCATTTTATGCTGTATAAATAGGACTATCTCAATTATCACATAACTACCTGATCGTGATTATTAAAGTTGACCACAATTATTTTTAACAGTTTTAGTTTTCACAAATGTTTACATCACAATAAACATTTATTCAGACATAAATTCTGCCTGGTGCTATAACACCTTTAGAGGGCAGCAGTGAGTAGTGTTTGTTTATGTGAGCTTATGTGAGTCATTTGAGAGCTGCTACGTATGGGCAGCCAACAAGAAAAATAGCTAATCAGACGACTCAGCCAGTAAGATTAAGTTTAAGATGTAATAATTACATTTTTAATTACAATTATTTATAAGATAATTAATCTTAGGCTAAAATTTCATAATCGTAACAGGCCTAGCTTATCATTAACTGTATTTTTCTGGCACAAGCACTGTTAGAAGCACACCTGTTCACTTTTCAACAATGTCCCCCACTTCACTTTCTGCATCCTTTTCTGGTTAAACAGGCAGTTGCAGCCCAAATCCATGCCTCAATAATGGTATATGTGAGGACAGGAGAGCAGGGAGATTCAAGTGCAAATGCCCAAAACACTTCAGGGGCAGGAGGTGTGAGAAACGTAAGATCATCTGACATTTTTCTCAAATCTGAAAAAAAAATGATCCCAATAGTTGGGACCACATTGATTTATTGATAATTATCAATAGCAGCTATGATATCTGTTGGTAATATTTATAGATTTTTTCTGAAACTGGTTCCTGGTTTTAATTCTTGGTACCACCATGCCATCATTTTTTTTTTGTGTTTTCTTCTGTCATTGTTCTTTCACTACAGTACCCAGAATGCATTAGGCAAATGTGTTGTACTATTTCAAATCCTTCCCACAGAAATAAACCAATCCTGCCTGCTAGTGTAGCCACTGATGTAGAGGCTGATACAATATAGATGTCGACATGATGCTTGACTTCCTGCGCACTTAAAACAGATGGTTCTTCAGATATTCTATAATACGGGGAATGGTTCTATTCAGAACCATGAGTTCCTATATAGCACCAAAAAGGGTTCTTATATTTTTACAAGCTTGACATCGTAGTAGCAGAACCATTTTCTGGTGCATATAGAACCATTTTTAAAAAAGGTTCTGTATAGAACTGTATATAACACATTTTCCATCAAGCTTAAGAACCATTTCATGAAATGATCAAGGTTCTAAATAGAATCATTGCTTTTACTAGAGAACCTTTGAAGAACCATCTTTTTAAAGAGTGCAGCAGTCTGCCTTTCCTCTGTAGTTACCAGCCAGCAGTTGTAGATGCCACAATGCAAAAAAATGGTATCTTGTTAAGTAAAAATGTTCTTAAATATAGTCAATAAATCTAATAATTCTCATGTTGAGATTGTTGTACCCTTAATACGAGATTTTACTATAATTTTTTTACCAGTTTTAAGTGATTTTATTAAGTAAAATGATCTCATTATACTGGCAGATAATGTTGCTTGTTTTAGGAAATGTGCTTGAAACAAGTTAAATTATCTGCCAGTATCGTGAGATAATTTTACCTAATAAAATTACCGAAAACAATTAAGAGATGTCTAGAAATAAGCTAAATAATCTTATAGCAAGTGTACAAGCATCACAAAATGGGAAATATTAGATAAACTGACTAGATTTAAGATCATTTTACTTGACAAGATGCCATTTTTTGCTGTGCACATCAGAAAGGAGGTTTTAAACTGGGAAATCTTACTCTAGAGCAGCAGCACTGCTGTAGGAGGCAAGTAAGCATGTTTACAACAGATGCAGTAATGCTTACATTTTTCTTTCATAAGAAAGACCTTTTAATTTTAGTTGACTGTTCATTGAGTCATTGTTAATAAATTTTTTCCCCCCTTTCTGGCACAAATGGAAACTGTTCTTTCTAACGCTGTTGTCAGAAGAAAACCTCGTATCTCCATTTTCCACCTCCACGTTTTTTTATTTTTTGACATAATTTGAAAATACTTGTAGCCCTTTACATTGTCTGCAAATTTCATGATGAGTGAACTAAAAGTAACGTCCCAAAATGACTGGTTCCACTGACTTACATTAAAAGTAAAGTAGGTTTTTTCCTTCTCCTGTAAAGTTACCATTTTGATATACAATCTTTTCTTTCGACACAGTGATGTACTGAATTTTTAACTGTTTTAAATGTTAAAATATGATATTTATATTGGAAAGTTTGTTAATTAATCCTGATTTATTAATTTTGCAAGATTGCTTCTCAGCCCAGCTGTAACGATTTTTATTTCAGGTGTGATGATTTGCAAAAGGGACACATGTGGGTATGGACAATGTGTTCTGACCTTAAGTCCACCTTACTACGAGTGCAAGTGCAAACCACCTTTCAAACCTCCAAACTGCAAATCAAGTAAGATTTTCCCTAACACTGCAGACACAGCTGCACCTGTTAAAACATGGACTGCTGTTCAAAAGTTTGAAATTACTTGGCATATTAATTAGTTCATTTGAATATTTTGAATATAGGTTTTTTGATGTTTTACCAAACATTTCAAGTATTTTGTGAACATCAAGAAATTCTAAAATACTAAACATTACAATGTAATCATCGATTTGCCATCATTTTCTGTCAAAATATCTGCTTTGAGACTTGATCAACACTTGGTATATTTGTAATAATTATTTGCAATGTGAGAAGTTACATTGGACTAATGTATTAGAGTTGTTTAATACATTTATCTGCACCCAAAAAGATTTATTTTATTGAAAAATGATTAGTGTACATACCACATCAACTGTTCAACTATGAAACAATATCAGATAGATATTCATGCAATCTTGGTTTAAGAAATAGTTTGGTTTAATGGATAATTGTCCATGTTTGTAGATAACAGAACGTCATCCAGTATCAGAAACCACATAAGCAAGTCTATTATAGCAACAACTCTTTGGTTTGAGGCAGGTGATGATGATACTTGTTAGCTGTTAGCCTTGTAGCTCCAAAACTGAAGGACCAAACCTTATACACCACATGCATCTTAGCCAACTGAACAAGACAAAAAAGTGTGTAAATTAGATTTTTTTTCTTTTGCCAAACACTTACTTTAATTAGTAAGTTTTTGCAATTAAAGGCTGTTTTAATTGGAAGACACTGTCTGTTACTACTTTATGTCTCCAAACATGAATTGACTGACTTGCATTTGTCTGTTGTCTGTGCTGTTTTAGTTGCCCCATGTGAACCTAACCCATGTCTGAATGGAGGGTCTTGTGTTAAGGATGGACAAGACTTTGACTGTGTCTGCAAAGAAGGTTTCACCGGAAGATTCTGTCATGTTGGTAAGCACACATTCGCCCCCGAGTACAAAATACTGAATACTGCTTTGAGCATTGGGATGTGAAAACAACCCATGAAAACAACTTGATCGACATTTTATGTTATCAGCCAAGTCCAACATCCCAAGTGCATAGTAGCTGCATCTATGAAGGTAGAGATGGCATGATAGCACGTTACCAGCACCAATACTGATACTGATCTTCCTTTCATTGAAAACTATTGAGCTTTAAAATGTGCTATTTTAATTGAGGCCATCTAAAAGTATCATGCTCAAACTGCTCTAAATAAAGAAATTGTTATTGTAGTACAAACCCATTTCCAAAAAAGTTGGGACGCTGGGCAAAATGTAAATAAAAAAACAAATTGCAATGATGTGCAAATCATTTAAACCCTATATTTCATTGAAAATAGTGCAAAGACAACAAATCAAAAGTTGAAACTTACAAAAAAGTTGGGACAGGGGCAACAAAAGGCTGGTAAAGTTGTGTAATGCTAAAAAAAACACCTGGTTGTTGATTGGCAACAGGTCAGCAACATGACTGGGTACAAAAGAGCATCTCAGAGAGGCTGAGTCTTTCAGAAGTAAAGATGAGGAGGGGTTCACCACTCTGTAAAAGACAAATAGTGCAACAATTCAAGAATAACATTTCTTAACTTAAAATACCAAAAAACTTTTGCTTTTCTTCATCTACAGTATATAATAACATTAAAAGATTCAAAGAATCTGGAGAAATCTCTGTGTGTAAGGGACAAGGTGGAAAACCAGTATTTGCTGGCCGTGATCTTTGGGCCCTCAGGCGGCACTGCATTAAAAACAGACATGATTCTGTAGTGGAAATCACTGCATGGGCTCAGTAACACTTCTGAAAACCACCATCTGTGAACACAGTTTGTCGCTACATCCACAAATGCAAGTTAAAACTCTAAAACACAATGAACAAACTATATATAAAGAGGATCCAGAAATGCTGCCACCTTCTCTGGGCCAGAGCTCATTTAAAAAGGAACTGAGGGGAAGTGGAAAAATGTCCTGTGGACAAATCAACATTTTAAATTCTTTTTGGAAATCATGGATGCTGTGTCCTCCGGGCTAAAGACCACTCAGCTTGTTATCAGTGCACAGCTTGTGAACTGCCAAATACTGGCAGTATTTGGTATAGGGGTGCATTAGTGCACATGGTATGGGTGACGTGCACATCTGTGAAGGCACCATTAATGCTGAACGATATATATAGATGTAGTTTGGCAACATATGCTGCCATCCATTTCAGCAAGACAATGCCAAACCATATTCTGCATCCGCAGCATTGCTCCATATTAAAAGAGTCCGGGTGCTAAACTGGCCTGCCTGCAGTCCAGACCTGTCACCACTGAAAACATTTGGTGCTTTATGAAATGAAAAATACGACAAAGAAGACCCCAAACTGTTGAGCGGCAGGCAATCTATATTAAACAAGAATTGAAAACATTTCACTTTCAAAACTACAGCAGTGTTTCCTCAGTTCCCAAACACTCACAGAGTGTTGTTGAAGAGGTGATGAAACACAGTGATAAACAGGCCCCCGTCCCAGATTTTTTGGAACGTGTTGGCATCAAATTCAAAATGGGTATTTTTCAAAAACAATAACATTTCTCAGTTTTAACATTTGATATTTACATTCTGCACGGCGTCCCAACTTTTTTGGGAAATGGGGTTGTGTAATACCTTGCTAGCTTTCTGTTGTTCTAATGTTAACTTTAGGCTACACATGGCAAAATGTTGTTATAAAATGATTTCACTTTCTCACAATTGATATTTCATGCTTTATATGTTATACAATTCATTCTGTTTTTCCTTCTGATACATCATCCAGCATTTTCTGGTTTTGGCTGGATATTGGCCTTGGTAGTGGTCTGATACCAGTGCTGGATTGGTGCCATCTCTATTTGAAAGCCTTCTCCTCTGGCAGTGTAGCGTAGTTTATTTGTGTTCTGCTGCTCAGGCCCTGATGATTGCTATGAGGGAGATGGAGAGTCATACAGAGGGATGGTGTCTGAGACGGAGGATGGAGACGACTGTCTCTTCTGGCATTCCCACTTTATTCTGGGTAAAGGAATAAACCCCTTCACTACATACGAGGATGCTCGGGGTCTGGGTCCTCACAACTGCTGCAGGTAAGGAAACAAACGCACACACACACACACACATATGAATATGCACTGTATCATAGACGTAATCTTTAAAAGAGACATAACTTGCTCTTTTTTTCAATTTAAGATACTTCCTGTGCTCTTTGAAATACAACTGTGAAAAGTATAAAACAAATTACACCTAATTCTGCACCTGTATGATGTGTTTTACTCTGTGTCATTTACTTTTCTATGAAGAAAAGGTCATTTTTGGGCATTGATTTTATGTGCTAATGACTACTGCTCTCATTGGCTGTGGACAGTGAGTGGACACAGTGTTTAAAAACTCCAGCAGCACTGCTGTGTCTGATCCACTCGTACCAGCACAACACACACTAACACACCACCACCACGTCAGTGTTACTGCAGTGCTGAGAATGATCCACTACCCAAATAGTACCTACTCTGTGAGGGTCAATGGGGGTCCTGACCACTGAAGAACAGGGTAAAAGGGGGCTAACAAAGTATGCAGAGAAACAGATGGACTACAGTCTGTAACTGTAGAACAACAAAGTGCACCTATATAGTAAGTGAGGCTGTCTCTCTCTTTTGTTTGTTTGGTTTTTTGCGATTATGTTCACCTTCTCACTTCTGATGAGTTTTTTTTTCATAATAATGATTTAATAATCTTAACGATAATCTAATAATATTTTTTTGTTTATTATGGTCTGAACATCCTTATTGTAAAGCAGGCTAGGGTATGTGAAATGTGCTGTAGAAATAAATTTTTTTATATTTATTTTAGATGTAAAGAAAGTGATTTAACAAAGAGGAAATTATGTAGATGTTTATTTATCTTTTGACACAGACTGCCTTTTTAAACAAGTTAATGCATGAACAGGAACATACGTCACATATCATGCATGGTTCATCTCTGAATGAGAGTTCAGCGCAATTTTACTACCATTATATTACCTACTAGAACATTATATACATTATAACTACTATGAAACTAATATGCAAGTTAATAATAGTCAGAGTGAAGAATTGAAGTGTGGGCCCACATACGGGTCCTTGCATTTTAACCCTTAGGAGTTATGTTCATTGCCGGCAACAACAAAAGCATGATGTTAATCATTTCACACTTGTAGTTCACTGAAACAAGCAGGAAAATTCTGTTGAACTTTCAATTTAAAACAAACAGACTCAAACCTGTTAATACAGAATGTAAATGAAATGTAAATGTAATTCATTACATAAATATACACCCATCAGGCATAACATTATGACCACCCTCTTATTTCTATGCTCATTGTCCATTTTACCAGCTCCACTTACTATATAGGTGCACTTTGTAGTTCTACAGTTACAGACTGTAGTCCATCTGTTTCTCTGCATACTTTGTTAGCCCCCTTTTACCCTGTTCTTCAGTGGTTAGGACCCCCATGGACCCTCACAGAGCAGGTACTATTTGTGTGGTGGATCATTCTCAGCACTGCAGTAACACTGACGTGGTGGTGTGTTAGTGTGTGTTGTGCTGGTACGAGTGCATAAGACACAGCAGTGCTGCTGGAGTTTTTGAACACTGTGTCCACTCACTGTCCACGCTATTAGACGCACCTGCGGTGCTGGTCCACCCTGCAGATGTATAGCCACGATAGCTCATCTCTTGCTGTACAGTATGAGCTAATCATCCTCTAGTCCTTCATCAGTGGTCACAGGATGCTGTTGACTGGATATTTTTGTTTGATGGACTATTCTCAGTCCAGCAGGGACATTGAGCTGTTTAAAAACTCCAGCAGCACTGCTGTGTATTTATTTATTCCCTGCTAACTTAAATGTGTTTCCTCAATCACAGAAACCCTGATGGTGAATCAAGGCCATGGTGCTTCATACGTTTAGGAAAGAAACTAAGATGGGATCACTGCAATGTGAGGAAATGTTCAACCAATGGTAACTGTGTTTCCACACATTATTTCATTGCTACAGAAGAATACACTTACATGTTATGCGGTGCTTTTTGGAACAGTACAGTCTTTAATTTGTCACTTCACCAAAATGGATTCTGTTACAGAGACCTCCCCCATTTCCCCTCCTAAACCCAAACCCCCTACAGCTGAACCTGCTGTCATTAGACCTCCTGCGAAGCCCACCCCTGTCCCTTCACATCCAACACAGCCCAGTCCGGCCCATCCCTCAGTAATCCATACTCCAGGAACGCATCCCCCTGTAAACATTACCCCAGAAAGCAAACCCTCAACACCTGCCCTCCAAGTGGAGGAGTATTTTGCAACCTGTGGGAAACCCCAACCAAAGAGGCCAGTGAATCGCATCTATGGGGGTCTAAAGGCGCTTCCTGGAGCCCAGCCGTGGCAGGCCTCTGTACAGGTCAGACAGAAAGGCACCAGCCTGCCCTTCAAACACATCTGTGGAGGCATCCTCATCAAGCCATGCTGGGTGATGACTGCAGGACACTGTATGTGAGTAGAGCCTGTACAGCTCATTCGAGTAGAAGGTTCAGTCAGCAGTGAGAGATGTTTAGTAGTTAAAGGAATACAAGAGAATTCCTCTTAAAGTGATGGTTTAGTCCAGAAAAAAATCAGATTTACACAATTTACCACTTATCCTTTTTCAACTTACTTCAAATGAGTTGTTAAACAATCTCAAGTAGATTAGCTTATGTGGTTGCTGACACTGTACCGGACGTAAGTAGGTTGCCTAGCTAAAAACAGTAGTAGCAGACATTTTAAAGGCTGAATTTTGTCTATACTTTTATCCAATTTTATAGATAACAGTGTGTAATACAGCGCCAGTAACACCATAAGTAAGTCTGCTTGAAATTTCTCAAAAATTCAACACAGTGTGAGTCAAATATGTGAGGATTTAGCTGTGCAGCTTGCGAGATGCAAATTAGTGGCCATAAACTTCCATCACTAGTCAGCTACATTAGCCTCGTAGCTCCAGTGAAAAACTAAAGAAGCAGTTTCAGTCACCAAACATATCTTGCCTGACTGAATACTGACTGTTGACCTTTGGTTGGATTCGTTTGAATGCTTGATTAGGACTGACGTAAAAGTCGCATGAATTCCGATCTGGCTGTTCTTGCCGCATATCGAACACATATCGGTTTTCAGTACCACATATGAAAGCGTCTCAAAAGGAATTGAAAATGTCAGATTCAGTATGTTTATCTGTTCACACTGACACACAGACACACATCTGTGTCACATATGAAGAAAAAGATTGGATTTGGGCCAATTTTACCTGCTGTGTGAGCAAAGCTTTTGAGCCAACCATAGTTCCTGGCTGAAGCCCAGCTGCCTATTGACTGTATCAGTGATATGTATGATAAAAATCAAAATCACTGCTTTTTAAATGGCAAAAATCCTTGTTCAGGGTCAAATATGGGCAAATAAGACAAGTGAGTTTAAGCACGATTAACTACACAAAATAATTAATCACAATTATTTGTTTTAATTGTTTGACAGCCCTGGTATATTTGCAAGAAAATTGACCGAAAGTTCTCTGATCTTATGAAGCCCTTTCTACAGAGACCCAAACTCAAACAGAAATGAGTAAACAGTCTAGTGTAGATGGACGTTGCTCACCTGGCAGCACAGCGGGCCAAATGTGTGGGAGTAGACAGGGCCTACTGGTTCAAGAGCAAGGGGTATGTTTATGAACCCAACACTGCATTAATAATTTCCCAAATAACGATCAGAGAGTCGTTGGGGTTCCTCTTTTATACCACTTAAAGCTTTAGGCCTTTTTCTGCTTTGAAAGAAGTCTATAGCAAGAAATGAATGACAACATGATGCACAGAGAGTTTCTAGGGAATTCCACCAATTTTTCAAAATTTCTGCATGATTGAATGGTTAAGATGTGAACAAACTCATTCAGGGCTTCATGTGAAATGTTCCATTCTAGAGTCTAGAAATGTCCAGATTGGTGGTGATAGGAACCAGATGTCTAAAGAGGGGAATGACCTTAAAACTCCCTCACAGCAAGTTATTACGTGAAATAGTAACTACTGCTTTCGAGAAGACTGGCCTCAAAACTGTTTTTAAATCCATGAAGGGCATTGGAATACAAAGTAGTACAGAAAGAAAATATATTTTATGGATGTGTCACTATTTTACTATCAACAACATTACACATAAAACTCTGAAGACAGTATGGATAGTATGTAAAATGGCTATATTTGCATTTGTGATGCATCAATACCGTTTTTTTCAGACCAAATACTAGTACATATTTTTAGTGCTCACTGATACGAAGTCTGACACCATAATGAATTAACCTCTTAAACGGACAGGGTCCACTGACAGGCCCAAAGTTTTATTACCCACTTCTATAACCTAAGAATAGCTCGACCAGTTTACGTTGAAGTGTAGTTACTGAATAATAAGCCTCAGTATGTAATAAACCTGGGACTTTAAGAGATTAACCTGCATACTTAGAATTAAGTAGTTGTTAATGTAAATGAGTGCAATGTACTTTAACAGTTAAATCATTCAAAGCTGATGTTTAAATGAAGCGCACTAGATAGCTATGCTACATCAGTTACGTTGAGTTGAGTAGCGCAGCAGTGGAGAAGAGTAGGGTTTTATTCCACATCAGAAAAGCACAGCTATAACTAAAAGCCAATTTTACCATCACCATATTAACATTTATCCCCATAATTCTGTTTAGTCAAACAAAGTTAGCTCAGTATATATGACCTTACAGCAAATGTCGACTTTTTTGCCTCAGTTTTGCTTGTCTATGTGTCTCCATCCATATTTGGGAAGCGGATGTGATTGTGATTGTGTGTGTTTAAAAACAGGCTAAAATCACACAGTGTATGTCTGGAGGGAATGTCTAAAGTGACCAACGACTTTGGCCCCATCCCATTTCTCATTTTTACTCCTACCAATTGTTTTTGAGTGTCACTTTGCTCCTTGGTAGTGGTTGAAATCGTCCCCTGTGAAATGGGACCCTCAAATAAAAAAGAGCATTACTTCATTAACAGCTACTAGCGCTGCTCTGTAGGCGACCCTGCCAGTCTTCAGTGACAGCAGAGGAGGGTAAAGTTCAGCTCCTCACTGCTGGGCTTTAGTTACATTTAGGGCATCATATGCCTTCAAGGGGCGGGGGGGGGGTAATTATTTATTATCACCCACCCATAATACTTCGGTAATATGAAGCTAATATCAGATATTCGAGACATCAGCGACTTTTTATGTTTGTTATGAAGAAAAAGACCATAACCCATTGAAACACCATTAAACTAAGATGATACAATGGTTATTGCAATTTTTTAAATGGAGAAAATTCTCACATTTGTGGGTTTCTTTGGTCTCTTGCGCAGCCATCTTTCATTTTTTCTCATAACACTCAGTTTGGAGTGAGACTCTGGAACACCTCCGTTTGGAGGGCCATTCGCCCTACCCATCTCAACAAAAATCGGGACACCCTACCCCTAGACGTGAATGCGCAAAATGGGGGGGGGTAAGGGCTAAGTGGTAGGGGCAAGAGATAAAATGGGATTGGGCCTTTGTGTCCAACCAACACAGAGTCAGAAACACTTCTCGGCGTGAGCAGAGCCTCCTTCACTGCCAGCCTGAGTCGTTTGTTCATTATTAGTGTACACTTGGCTTATGCCACAGTATCAGGCCAATACCCAGTATCAGTTTCAGTATCAATGCATCCCTAAATGGCATTGTTGCCAACCCCTGGTTCCTGTCACCACCGATTTAAAGAAATATGAGTTGGTAAGTTCCTCTACAACTATCCACTTTGCACTAAACCACACTGAATGAGAAGCATGAACACTGTATGAACATGATTGCAGCACTGCTAAGTATGTACGTTGTGTATCCACAGTGACAAAAAACAGGAATTCCAGGTGGTGCTGGGAAGTCTGGACTTAGGCAAGATTGAAGCATCACAGCAAGTGGTGGAGGTTGTGGAAACCATCATCCATGAACAGTACAGAGAAACTCTGGATGGAGTCTACAATGATATAGGTGATCACTGTTCATTCCTGTTTTTATGATTCATGTTATCCTGACAAAGACTTTTTTGCAGAAAAAAACTTTATTTAGAAATTTAGACTGTGTGAGTGAGTTAACTTCCAAAGTAATCTTGCAAGCCAGACTTCTGCCCAGCTTTGTTTCTGTGTGTGGAGCCTCTGAGGCTGAGAATAGTTCCAAAGCCACATTTATGAGCTTTATATATTAAACAAATGAGATGTTTTCTGTCTAGGAAACGCTGCAGCTGAGACAGTGGAGAATTCACTCCACTGTAGCTCAGTGGCTTATTAATGATCCATAAAAATACCCTGTTTTTACGGTTACAGTGAATTAAACATTACATGTATTTATTATTTAATTCTATTGAACAAGCTGTTTAAAGTTACAGTAGTCCTCCATCAGCTCTCTTTACTAACACAGCGATTCTCACCTTTGAAGCGTCATCTTCAGATTACTTGTTAATCACTGTGATATCCGATTTCAACTACAATGTTGCGTTTTGTCCGCTACAGATCCAAAGATTTAAAACGCCTCCTTTTTTCTGGTTTTTATTCACATTTAAGCAGTTCAGGTAAGCTGCCACGGGTTAAAAACAAACAAACAATACACTGAAAAATAAAAAATAATGCAAATTTCAGAGTTAAAAAGGCCTTTTCAGGGAATAGGGTTGATTAGCAACTTACAGTTGTTCTGCAGCAATGGAAGTAAATTAAGCTTTGAAAGTTGGTGTGAACAGTTCCCACAGGTGATTAACCCCCTGACTGTATAAAAGCAGTGTTGGAAAGCGTTACTACACACTCTGGGCAGTATTTGGACAATATTGCAGGAGAAAAAGGCAATTAACAAAGGAAAACAGCCTGCAATAACCTTAAAAATGTGGATCTTTCCTTTAGAGAAACTGCAATGAAATCCAGGCTGCCAGTGAGTACATCTTCCTACACCATCAATAGGCTCTTGGAAACTGGAGGAAACTCTGATTAGAAGAGCCATGGAAGACCTAACCCAGCTCACCGGGAACGTCCCCATAACTTTGGCTAACGTTACCTAGAAGTTCTGATAATGTTTCAAGAAAACCTTTTAATCTAATGTTCAAAGAACGTTTTAAGGATGTTTAGCATTTCAAATAATGGCTTACATGCTAACTAAGACTTAACATTTTAACTGCAACATTCGGAGGATGTTTTGAGGATGTTGTCAGGGCAACAGATTATGTTACATAATCATGTTTTTAGGGAACGTTCCTAGATGAACATTCTGGGAACAAAAAGAAAAAATAATAACTAGCTGGGAAAGCCCTAATGGAACATCTTAACAGTGATCTCAGCTTCTATGGTGAGGAGAAAACTTCAGGCTGCAGGTCAAGTGGCAGTTAGAAAGCCGTTGCTAAGATGGCAAAATAAAAGAAAGGCGTTCCTGGGCCATGCAGTACCATACTGAAGACTGGAAGAAGGATTTTTTTGTTCGGCATCAAGTAAACAAAAGGATGGTTCCTCACCAACTGTAAAACATGGAGGAGGAAGCGTGATGGTCTGGGGCTCATTTGGATCCAGAGTCAGATACTAGCACAGAGTGAAGGGCACCTGGAACCGAGAGAGCTACCAAAGTATTTTGCAGCGAAATGCAATACAGAAAGGAGGCTACTTTGATGAGTGGAAAATTTCGCTTAAATTTTGATTCCAATTGTTTATTTGCTTTAAATATAGAGTACATTGAGACATTAAACTACACAAATATCCATAAACCTGGAAAAATGGGTTTTTTTACCAGTAGCGTACATTCCAGTAATTTATATCTACTCAAACTGAAAGAAAGCCCAGAGGTCTCTTGCGGTTTAGATGTTTTATTCCTCGGTTTGATCAAGCAAGAAAAGGCTGGTAAAAAGCTTGTGTGGTACCACTGGTGCCCACCTGTGCGTCCTATGGTACCTCCGTACACACCTGTGCTCCCCATCACCCCCAGTGTCAAACTCAAATCACTGCATCACATTCAGAAACAAATCACATGCCAATATAGCTCCTGCATCATCATTATAATAATTATAATCATTATTATTATTAACCACCTGCATGTGTGTCCCTGTTCCGCAGCTTTGCTGAGGCTGAAAGACAAAAAAGGGAAGTGTGTAGAAGAGAGCCAGTTTGTAAAGACGGCCTGCTTACCCACAGAGGCTTTTCCTGATGGTGCTGAGTGCACCATCTCCGGATGGGGAGCCACTCCACAGTGTAAGTGATGGAGTTCCACCTTCTTTTCTCTGACTGTGAGGAGAACAGTAGGTGTATAATAACTTTAGAGAACAGAATTCAACACTGCACTGAGTTCCATCTGTAACATGTCTTTTTCTCTGCATGTTAGCGCAATACGGCTCCAGTCAGTTGCTGGACGCTGAGGTGCTGCTGATCTCCCAGGATACATGCTCCAGCAGTAAAGTGTATGGGAAACTCGTAGATCACACCATGTTCTGTGCTGGTTACCTGGAGGGCGGAGTGGACTCGTGCCAGGTGAGGATTTGCCGCATCAAATGAGCTGGAATAAACTTGGAGGCATTCAGTTAAATCAAATTTGCTGCATTTTTTGGATATACAGCTGTATTTTTACCTGGGTTGTGTCCAAGTGAACATTCTTAGCACTTTAATGGAGCACTGTACGCTCTTTAACACACATTAATTAATAAAGAATCCCCCATCAGTAACAATGATGCTCAGAAGTGTACATATTGCAGCTCTCGTATCCCCACTTAATTTTTCACTTTTCTTCATCTAAATCTACTCCAATTACCCTTGGAGTTGTGTTAAAATTTCATGATTAATGACGATATGTATCTACATCACAACTGCGTAGTGCACATTAGAAATACGACTGCTGTGCTGCATCATTGGCCATCATTACAAATTGAGTTATTAGTTATTATTATTATGCAACACATATGATTAATTAATTAGATGTAATCACACAATGACAGCTGGTCATGTTATACAATACATTTACATGATTTATATCCTGTATAGACAGTTGTGATTCTTCACTTGTTACTTAATTCTATTTGTTTTGATACCCAAAATGACAAAATACAGCAAAAATGTCAAGACTTGTTCTTCTTTCCACAAAACAAGACTGTTCTATAATTGTGAAACTTAAAACAGTGAGTTAAAAGCTTTTTATCACAGTTATGGAGTGTTTTAAAATGCTAGCCAGCTCACTCGCTGGTGAAAACACAACTAAAGTGATTTTAGTTTTTGTATGGCCGGGCTGTGATAAGGAGCTGCTGATAATAAATCTGCTGTAAGGGAACTCCACCTGACTCAAATCCAATGCAAAAGTGCAAACACTTAAGCTCAAAAATCAAATGACCCGTACTGTTCTTTAAGCTTTCCAGACAAAAAAAATGTTGCATGCATTATTTTTTCAATAATACTCAGTTAACCATCCAATTGTCTTAATAACAGCACCAGCCCTGTCAGGTAAGGATTACACCAGTCTCTTAAGATCCTGTCCACCTTAGTCCACTCTTCTACTAACTTTCTGCTTCACATCCAAGCAGAATGCAACATTGACACGCCCATATTCCAGGATGACAACTGTAGGGTGTCTGTATGTGACTGGTTTGACAGACATAATGGAAAACAGGACCAGTTTGAATGACCAGAACTCAATTCTCTGTTTCAGACAGAATCAAATGTAGTGTTAAGAGTTTTATCAAAGGCAGCAAACAGCACCAATATTACTATCTATACAGGGATTTGAACCCTTGTCGACAGCATGCAGAGCTATGGTGTTACTCATTGCACCATTTTATCATTATGAGGTATTTAAGTATGACCCTATTTCAGGTCCCTACAAGTCCCTGTTTATTACAGTAATGATAACTTGGTTTATAAGGTAATTGACACCCCTTATTGCTGACCTTATATTTGGTTGTTCATAATTACCACATTATGGAATGTGACACCTTCTTAAAAAGATAATCAGAGTTTTATTGGTGGCGCTGTTGTGAGGTGTGACCACTGAGTTGCTAACAAGAACCATAGGCAGTCGACCTCACCAGCTTAAGAGCGATGAATCTTGTAGAACCCAAGCCGACACCTGAGCTCTATTCTCACTGAGCCTCATCTCACTGAAATGGATCTTAAAGGATGACAGAGACTCTATAGAAACACAGTTACTAAACACACCAACCAAGTGGGCACTTGTACAGTCTGATGGCAAAGGGGCAGAGGCTCAAGCCCCCCCTGGGGTCTACCTGTCTGGTTAATCGTGCATGCATGAACCTACATGGATGAAACAGATGAGTTACCCCTTTGACAGGTTTTTCGTAAAACCATACATCCACACCAAGAACCATTCAGGAATTTTTATCGATGTGTTAATAGTAAAATGAAATGTGTGTTACAGGTTTTTACAGGTTTTAACACATTTGATTTCACGCTGTGTGTCTCCCTTCTCTGATAGGGTGACTCCGGTGGGCCCTTGACCTGCGCGAGGAACCAGACACACTACATCTATGGCATTGTTAGCTGGGGAGACAACTGTGGAGAGAAGAACAAGCCTGGAGTTTATACTCGTGTCACTCACTTTGTAGACTGGATCAATGCAAAAACAGCCAGTAAACCCAGTACAGCTCCTTAAATGTCTGGAAAGGGCAATTCTTTATCTGAGAACTGAGCTGAAAATGATAAGTCATGGAAGTGTGGTTTCATTGTTTGGCCTAACAGCTTCAGGCGTGTCCATGTGTTCCTTACTTTGTGTTAAACTTTTGTTACAAATCAAGCCCAAGTGTTGCCTCATAGCAAAGCACTGAGTACAAAAGTAAAAGTACTATGTCAAAAAACTGAGAAAGAGTTAAAAGTACTTAATTTTGGTATTTGCAAGTAAAAGTGCTCTTGTTTTTTCTTGGCAACTGAGTGTCGTCTTTATTTGCTTATGGATCTGGACAAATTGAAATATATCATTTATATTCAACTCAATTCAAAAGGGTGAGCAGCTTAAAAACATACTCAAGTTTAGTGAAATAATGACTTTCCAAAAAACAACTTGAGAAGTAGAAAATAGTAAACAAAAAATACTTAAGTACTGAGTAACTTCTTAAACTGCAGTGGAGCTTCTAAATATTCTGAATATCTATCAACATTGTTAGACACTTCATTTTGTGGTGTACAATAAAATGATAAAACTTCAAAATGTACAAATATACAAGAGTAGATTTGAAAGTATTTGAAAATTGCTTGAATTACTTGAAAATACTCAGAAAGCTACACTGTTAAAAATGAAAGTCTTAAGAAAACTTAAAATCATAAGGTAACTGAATACATTGTTTTTCTTGAGGACACTGGAGTTCACCCAACTCAAACCTCTTAGTTTAGTCAAAAGGTCTCCTAACTCTGATTTTTTAGTTCAGCATCTCAATATGTTTTTCACTCATGTTCCCAACCAGCTGTTGGGCTCCCAGTTATGGTTGGCTATGGCATCACTGGGGTTCAAGCACACAATCGCTTGGTGGACATGTCAGTTATGCTTAGTCCATTGCAGAGCTACGCTGTTTTCTATGTCCTTAAATGTGTAATATACTGTACAAAATTGCTGTTTTAACTTTGAAAAGTAATGTAGTAACATGGTGCAGTGGTCTAAGAATTAGCATCAGGTGATTGTGTGTTTGAGCCCCAGTGATCCAACAAACGTCCATATCTGAAAGCACGAGAGGAGACAGTGACTATTTGATCAAAAGAGTCCCAGCTAGTGAGGAAACTGAGTAAAAATATCTTGCATAGTCTAGTTAAGTCTAACTACACTCAACTTGAAAAACTGGAGTGTTAAGAAAACCTTTGACTGAACCGAGCTTGAGTTGGGTGAACTCTGGTGTCCTCAAGATGACTTAACTCAAAAAAAGCAGTGTAATCAGTTACCTTATCAATTTACAGTGTACAAGTCCATGACAATTTTACTTAAGTACACGCAACTGAGTAATCAGTCACTACCCACCTCCTTAATAATAAAGGAATTATAGGCTTCTGAAGTACTGTAAACAAATAACATCAGTTACCACCACGTCCTTATAGCTTTCCAGATAAGAGTTCAGCTTTGATACACCCGGACTGAAGCCAGTAAATATCAAAAAGATATTTAGTTATTAGAAATCTTGCTAGTTTTATTTAACATTTGCTTTAGTTACCTGAGCTCAGAATAAGAAAATACGACCCTTCTTGTTCACATTTTTGGACTGGGTCGTGACCCTGCAGGAGTGACGTTAGGTCATAATTTACATATTTGTACATAACTAATATATCAGCATTACAGTGAAAGTCAAACAAATCAAAAATCAAAACAGTGTCTGAACAGCCAAAGGTAAAAGGCAAAAAAAGCCCTATATTCAACATTTAGGTGCAATAAAACAGAAGGGCAGGGGTGAAAAATGCCCTCAAAATAACTTATTAATTTAATAAATCAATAAGAAAAGAACCTATATATGTGCTAAATGTAAATGAATGTTGCTATTGCACTAAAAACAGCTTTGTTCTATCATTTTATACGTCTCTCCACCTTATAATCCTGACCTGACAGCACAAGCACACTCATCTGTAGATTAAATGGGTCACTAATTATACAAGAAGCTGCTGCAAATGACAAGGTCTCAATTCAAGAATATTCTCCACCACCAAATCTGCATTTTTTCCCAAGGATTTTGAATCCATTAACATTTATGTTTGAGATTAAACTGCAAGTTAGTATTCTGTTCAAAGTTAAATGTTCTAGGTGCCCTTATGTGTGTATCAAATGCCCCTGAATCTCAAAAGGGCCCCTAAAAATGTACTATTCCCTACCCTGGACTGTTCTGTTGTGTAGCCAAAATGAAGATGGCCACCAAGTGGACAGAGACTGCTAGGACTTTGCATGAGTGGTGTCACAGATTTTAATAGGCTGTGAGTTACTTCCTTGAAGATCGTGTCCTGGACACAGAGCCAGATGTAGGCGGTCTGTGAATGTCCCAGCACAGAAAGCGAACAGAGGTGTCATGCTGTCCTCCCCAAAGAACATCACCAGTCCTGCGGGGAAACTGCAAAAGACCCCGATGCGGTTAAAGTGAGTACAAACAGGCAGCGGATGGGCTTTGCCGCCATGCCAGGCCGTGTAGTCTCCATCAAAGAACTCTACGCACCAGGACTCGTCTCTCCGGCCCAGCCAACAGTCCTCCTGGCGGCCCTTACGTGGGATGGAGGGGTAGGTGAGGCCCAGCTCCCAGTACACCTTCCCCTTCACATCCAGCTCCCAGTAATGACGGCCTGTGTCCCAGCTCTGCAGGCTCAGGACGTTGAGGGTGGTGTCAAACCGGCCCTCGTAGTTAGGTACGTCCTGCCACACACTGGTAAAGGTGGCGCTATCCTGCGTTGGGGATATGATCAGCTTGGGATGAGCTGTGGTTGGGTCCAGGGTCACCTCAGCCAAGCCTGGGAAAGAGAAAGAAGCAGTCTGTGCCATGTGATGAGGCTAACGTCACACATAGCAGTGGACACCAGCTTGAAAAATCAAATTCACACAATTTTCCCTTTAACCCAAAGACATGTTTGGTGTCTGAAGTTTGCTTCTCTAATTTTGCACTGGAGTTACGAGGCTAATGTAACAAGTAATAGACACTTAGCATGTTAGCATTATGCAAATTGCATGCAGAAATAAGCACACATTTTCCTCAAACTATGTCAAGCATTTCACATCAAACCACTCTGAATGACATCTTTTAAATATGCAGAAATGTTGAAAAATCAATGGAATACACCATTAATTAACAGCAGTCAGTTTCCTTAGGATGTTTATGTACTTTCTGAGTGTGGCAGTGTTTTTCTTTTCTTAATTTTAGTTGTTTAGCTGTCATAAGTGAAGCTTTCTTGTCCCCTTTGGTGAAAATGCAAACTGTCCTAGGTCCACTGGACACTGAATGGAAATACCTACGACTTTAAGCAATGAAAAAAACAATATTTATCAACAATTGTGATTTTTCATTCCAGCCCTAAATTAGTGCACAGTCTGGACAAATCAGCAATTCTGCTTAAGTGTTGAGGTCTAAAGACTGACTGAATTTGACTTACAGCTCTTGAGCAGTCTCTTAACGATGGGGGTTTGAGAGCGGATGAACAGCAGCAGGTTGTTGGTTCGGTCCAGTATCTGCTCCGCCTTTACCTCGTCAAGTCTCACGAGGCCTGGGTCTGTAATCTTCAGCAAGTCCTCAACCCTGGCAGCGAGCCAAAGACCAAGACTACAAATCAGTCCTGTTCGGCCACATCAAAAAAGCCATTCTTATTCAGTGGACGGTCCCATCATAAACATGACTGAATGCCACTGTGAGACAAAAATAGGTCATAGTGCTCTTCTTCTCCAAAGCTTCTAAGTAATAAAAACTAAAAAGGGAAAGAATCTTGAATGCTGGTCTTATTATTGACCAGTCATTGGAAGACCATTCATTTTATAAATGAGAACATGGTTAATGAGACAAATCAATGCTTGGAAAGATGCCCACAAAGATGAGGTGGCTGCCACAGCACCATATCACATCACACAACTGTTATTTTATTTCTAATCCAGAACTTTGGCTTGTCACTCAAAGGCAGACATGATTGACATAGTGATGGACATTAATCCTGACATAGCAGTGGACCTTAATGCTTAACAGGGGGAGCAGCTGTACATACCTGTCCTCAAGGTCTGGGACCTGAGTTTGGGGGTGGTGGGAGACAGAGAGAGGGAGTGAGAGAGTGAGAGAGTGAGAGAGAGAGAGAGAGAGAGAGAGAGGAAAGGCCACAGAACAGTTAATTTTACACTGACTGAGAAAAAGTTGTATAACACAGTGAATGTTATTAATATCCAGAATACTTTGCATTTTGAAAGTGGGGATCAAATCTTGTGGGAGAAAACTATTATAAATCACTGTAAATAAAAGTACAGTATATTATTTATCACACCAGTAATTTCTTGTTTCCAATCTGCTTGAAATATTGAATAAAACATGTAAAATGCATGAACATCACCACACTGTAAAACCTGATGATTTAAGTCAACTCAAAAAATCACATATTTTTATTTACAAAGATTACCTCAAATGTTTTCAGTTCAATAACTTGTTTACACTTAAGTAAATTGAGTAAACTGTAGTAACTCTATTTGTTTTGTTGATATTAAAATGACTGAGTATTTGCGGCTCATGTTTAAGCTGTTCTAACTCAATAAAATTAAGTAATTGTACATTAAATTCACCATTAGGCTTTTGACAAATTCATATTGTATTGCAGAAATATGATCATAGACATTTGTAATGTCTTGTCCACCTTAATATCACTATAGACCACCTCACCAAATGCTGACAGTACAGTCCAGAGTGCAGATGTAGTCTCTGGGGCTTTTAGCTACAGCAGAACTGAACTCAGCAGAGAGGAACTATAGGAACTCAGCTCTCTCAACACTGATTTCTGATCAGTACTAATCAGCATGAATCACTAAAGTTTATAATTGTGGTCGACACAAGGGAAGGTAGGCTGGGGAGAATGACAACACACAATATGTAAATATGGTACTAAGAGCCAATAGGAATGATGTGGGTTTTACTCAAGAAGGTTACATTGACAAACATTTATCAAGTAAAGCTGAGAAGTCCAAACATGCAAATCATTTAACTGTAAACACTGATACTGTCTGTCACATTAAGCCACACTAAATTTTCAACAGTCTTTAAAAACAACCCATTATTGGCCTGTTTGTATTTGCATGTGAAGTCAAGCTAAATAAAAATAGTGAATATAATACATTTAAATAAAGTTACCTAATTAAAAATATGCTGAAAAAAAAACAATCTTACTCAAAATGACTGAGTTACTATCTCAACAATTCATTTTTGAGTTAATTTGATTTTTTCAGATT